TCCGTTCGGAATTCCCATCAATTTCTTATAGGAATCCACACGAAGTTTATTTAAAATTTTAAAGAATTCCTTCGTAATTCGCACGAATACTGCATACTATTCGGTCGGAAAAGTGGGCGGATATTTTTTTAAACAAATTTTTCATCCAAAATTCCGTTCGGAATTCCCATCAATTTCTTATAGGAATCCACACGAAGTTTATATAAAGAATTCCTTAGTAATTCGCACGACTACCGCGCACTATTCGGTCAGAAAAGTGGGCGGATATTTTTTTAAACAAATTTTTCAGCCAAAATTCCGTTCGGAATTTCCATCAATTTCTTATAGGAATCCACACGAAGTTTATTTAAAGAATTCCTTAGTAATTCGCACGAATACCGCGCACTATTCGTTCGGAAAAGTGGGCGAATATTTTTTTAAAAATATTTTTCATCCAAAATTCCATTCGGAATTCCTATCAATTTCTTATAGCAATCCACACGAAGTTTATTTAAAGAATTCCTTAGTAATTCGCACGAATACCGCGCAATATTCGGTCGGAAAAGTAGGCGAATATATTTTTAAAAAAATTTTTCCTCCAAAATTCCGTTCGGAATTCCCATCAATTTCTTATAGGAATCCACACGAAGTTTATTTAAAATTTTAAAGAATTCCTTAGTAATTCGCACGAATACCGCGCACTATTCGTTCGGAAAAGTGGGCTGATATTTTTTTAAAAATATTTTTCAGTCTAAATTCCGTTCGGAATTCCTATCAATTTCTTATAGCAATCCACACGAAGTTTATTTAACCTTCGCTTGACAAGATGCCCACCCAGGGTGGGCCAGACAAATTGAAATTGCCATATCTTCTAAAGTTTTGCCTTAATTGAATCGCGATTTTAAGTCACTGAACAAAATCTTAAGAACTTTCAAAAAATGTAAAAACAAATTTTTAAAAAAAATTTCTTCTTGATTATTTATAACTTTTATCAATGTATGTACGGAGATAACCGGGATGATTCAGATATTTTTTTAATTCTATTTTACAAAAAGACTTGAAATCATGCAGACTTTTCACTGTGAGTGTTTTATGATGTCAAATAATAGATATAAAAAATATTATATTGCATTTTTCATTTGTTTAAACAATTTATTGTTATTATTTATTAACTTTCTTTGTTCTGCGCCTAGAAAGATGCAGTTTTTTTCTAATTTTGCAATTTATCAAGCCGAATATAATAAAAGATAGATTTGATGTAAAATTATTAATTCAACAATTGTTTAAACAATTTATTGTTGTTATTTACTAACTTTTTTTGTACGGCACCTGGAAAGTTGCCGTTTTTTCTAATTTTGCAACTCATCAAGCCGAATATAATAAAAGATAGATTTGATGTAAAATTGTAAATTCAACAATTGTTTAAACAATTGTTAAATTAGTAAATTTATGTAAAATCTGTCTGGCTATATTATATTCGGTTTGATAAATTGCAAAATTAGGAAAAAACTGCATCTTTCTAGGTACACTACAAGAAAGTTAATAAATAACAACAATATATTGTTTAAACAATCGTTTGAATACTAAATTCATATAAAATCTTCATGTTTATTATGTTGAGCTTGTTAAGTTGCAAAATTAGAAAAAAATTGCAACTTTATTGGAACATTATAAAGAAAATTAATAAATAGCAACAATTATTTGTTTAAACAATTGGTTAAATAGTAAATTCATATAAAATCTTTGTGTTATTATGTTGTGCTTGTTAAGTTGAAAAATTAGAAAAAAATTGCAATTTTCTAGGAATATTATGAAGAATGTTAATAAATAGCAATAATTATTTGTTTAAACAATTTATAATAATAGTTGTTGCAAATTGAATTATATATTTTATTTTATTTATAACCTTTGAATTAATAACTACGAAGAAAAGGTAACAAATTTATAAAATTCTTCTACTGTCGTATGTATATTTGAAAAAGTTATAAATTATTAATAATAAATTGTTTAAACAAATAAAAAATCAACAAAACATTAATAAAATATATTATTTGGTAACATATAACAATTTTGGAAAAAAACTGAATGATTCTAAGTTTTTATTGCAATATACAAAGAAGAAAACATTTGGCCCACCCTGGGTGGGATCTTGTCAACCGTGTATATAAAAAGTATCCAGTCCGGCGAAGGTTAAAGAATTCCTTAGTAATTCGCACGAATACCGCGCAATATTCGGTCGGAAAAGTAGGCGAATATATTTTTAAAAAAATTTTTCCTCCAAAATTCCGTTCGGAATTCCCATCAATTTCTTATAGGAATCCACACGAAGTTTATTTAAAATTTTAAAGAATTCCTTAGTAATTCGCACGAATACTGCATACTATTCGGTCGGAAAAGTGGGCGGATATTTTTTTAAACAAATTTTTCAGCCAAAATTCCGTTCGGAATTCCCATCAATTTCTTATAGGAATCCACACGAAGTTTATTTAAAGAATTCCTTAGTAATTCGCACGAATACCGCGCACTATTCGTTCGGAAAAGTGGGCGAATATTTTTTTAAAAATATTTTTCAGTCTAAATTCCGTTCGGAATTCCTATCAATTTCTTATAGGAATCCACGCGAAGTTTATTTAAAGAATTTCTTGGTAATTCGCACGAATATCGCGCACTATTCGGTCGGAAAAGTGGACGAATATATTTTTCAAAATATTTATCAGCCAAAATTCCGTTCTGAATTCCTATTAAATTCTTATTGGAATCCACACAAATTGTTTTTAAAATAGTCGTTAGTAATTCGCACGAATACCATACGAATTTCGGTCGAAAATTTGTCAAAATTTTTTTTTGTATTGATTTTTCTGAAAAATGTCGCACGAATTCCTATTAAATTATGGACGAATTCTGTTTCAAATCGCCACACGGCGTTTTCCAGAATTCGACAGGAAATCTGGACGAAATCTAAACGAATTCTTTCGGAAATCTGGACGAATTCCGAACGAATTCCAAACGAATTCCTTACGAATCATTTGCACCTGGGAGTTGCATACTTATAGCTTTTTCAATCAGCGACTATTCGCTGCCAATTAGTGGATTTTAGCTGATTCAAATTTAGAGAGAATGAAATTAAGTAAGTGATTATATTTTAATTTACTGTCTAACCTAATGATATTTTTCTCATCTTTGATACTGAGAAATTAAAACTTGTCTGCAGGTACGCGTCGTTAGCATAGTGGTTAGAGCGTTAATCTATAAGTCCGTAGGTCGTAGGTTCGATTCCCCTCGTGCGCAGTTTTCTTTATTTCATAGGTTTGCGTTATTTCTAGATTTTCATTTATAAGTTGTACCAAAACTTGAAAATCTAATACATACACTATTATTTCATTTTTAAATTATATAAATATTTTTTTTACTTTTTTTACTATATACATTGTTTGTTAGTCGTCATCTTTAATACAATTTCATTTAAAAGGAAATTATATTTATTCATTTAATTTACTCTTTTGTTGTTAAATTATTTATATAATTATTAATTAACAATTATAAATAAAAATGGAATAACTCAATCTGACCCCAGCTGGGATTTCCCAACCTTGGGAAATCTTTGGGATCAGCGTTACGCGCCCAGTTTGGGCGTTGTCTGGGTTGCCCGCACTTTGGACATATTGGGAAACCCAGTCTGGACCAGATTGGGGCCCAGTCGACTTTTCCATACGGGAATATATTATAGGGTAATAATGTACTAATTACGGCGCGATTCGAGTCAAAATACTTTTGAAATAGAAAATTCTACATTTTTATTTTATAAACTCAATTTAAGTCTTATTAAACTAAAAGCTTATGTTATTAAGATATAAAAAAAATTGTAACTTTATAAAAATCGATTATTTAAAAAAATATAATAAATTAAAACTAATACCGTAATTTTTCTATTATGGCGCGTTTGTATCAGTTCCGGTGTATCAATTTCGGTGACCAAAATTACTTGTATTTTGAAGATACTTTGCCCGCCGTAATTGAAGCCAATGGAAATCTTAAAAATGTTTCAATTACGGCGAGGGGAAAAAATTTGATCTCAAATAATTTAATTAATAATTGTTTAAATGTGTATCTTTATAAGTAGGGGAGTGTAGTCAGGGTTGGACATAGTTTTGACTTTTCTCTATAACTTTCCCTGTAGGCCGAATTTTGTGATTTCTCGCATATTGTTCGAAAGATCTACTAAAATGCAATGTTTTTGCTGCGAACACTGAAAAAATTATATTCTAGATTTAATAATTTCTTCTTAAATAGGCGCCATGCCAAGAATATTCCCCACTTAAAGTAAGTGGGAAATATTCTTACAGTAAGTAATATATTCTTACTGTAAGAATATTTTCCACTTAATTTAAGTGAAGAATATTCTTATTGTAATATATTCTTAATATAAGAATATTTTCCACTTAATTTAAGTGAAGAATATTCTTGGCGCCTATTTAAGAAGAAATTCTTAAATCTAGAATATAATTTTTTCAGTGAACATTGTAAAAATATTTGACCAAAAGTTACGGAGTTATAGTTAATTAAAAAAAAAAAAAAAAATTAGTCATGGTTGAGCCACTGTAGAAAATCAATGAAATATGTAGATAAATGATTAATAATGACCTTCAAATGAAAGAATAGCGTTCAAATACACTTGGAAATGTGTAAAGGAACCACGAAATTGAAATAAAAAGCCCTTATTGTGTAATTTTCCGATTTTCGCTTGTATCGCAAAGCTGGTTTGAAAAGTGAAAAAAAAATTATCAAAAATTTGTATTTCCTTTATTTTCAATGGAAATGAAGTTTCTGACACCTCTTTAAATCGACAAATGAATTTCCATTGCAAGAACCCTTCATAATTGCAAAATTTTTTGGTAATGAAGAATTTTAGTCAACTTACTTTGTCTTTGACATATTTTTTCTGCACTTAATTGTCTTCTTTTGAAACAACAAAAAATTTTTTTGTTGAACGTATATAGCACTGAAATAAATAATGCTGATGATTTTAAAATAAAAATAATTTTTATTGAGTAGAGAAGAATGTATAGGTATGTTACATAGAAATGGGAAAGACGAGTTAATATAATAGTGATATATCTCAATGGCGGAATTGTTTGAATGTAGTGGTTGGTTTGCCAACAACTTTATTGACAGTTTCTTTAGGTACTCGAACTTCAGGATGAGCCTCGTTGAATTGTAATGATCGTTGAATAGCAGCGGGAATTGCTGGAATATGTGCACCTTCTGGATGAAAACCATTTTCATCAGCAGTATAGTGAACTTCATATGTTACACCATCTTCACCAAGATAACGATAACTTCCTCGTGCAACAACTGCCGGTCCCTCGGGTCCAACTGCCAATGGCTGGCCAGATTCTTCAGCAAAAATTCCATTTTCCGTTTCATAATGATAATTGTATGAACCATCAGGTGCAACGTCTGATGATTGTTTCAAAATTTTCACCAACGGACTGAGATTCAAGTGAGAAACATCGGCTGCCACTACTGCCACAATGGCCAAAGAGACAATCTGAAATTACAAATTTCGTATTTTATTTATTATTGTTAATAATAATAATAATAACATAACCTAAACCTTATAAATTGAAAATTTTAATAAAAAAAACAATAAAATAACTAAAGTTTGGGAAAAAAAATTATACAAAGGTTAAAAAATTATTTTTCTTCGATTATTATTAAATTTTTTAATTGTCAATTTTTTAAAATACATTTCTCATATTAGCTACAGTAGCTAATATTTAGCTGTTACAGCAAACTATTTTAGCTATAGTAGCTAATTTTTAGCTGTATTAGCTAACGAAAATTGCTATTCATATAAATAACAAATAGGGTTAGCTAAAATAGCTAAATTTTAGCTAATATGGCTAACTTTTTTTCTCCGTTTAGAATTTTTTTTTTTTCAAGAAATCAATTGTTTAGAATTTTAAAAATTTGCATTCTTCAACAAAAAATTTGTCAAAAATCATTTTTTTTAAATTTTCTGGAATTTTTTATAAATAAATTAAAGTAATTATTAGTTTTAAAAATTTATTTTACTTTTTTCCCAAAGCAAATTAAAAAGTTTGCCTTTACACTCAATTATTAAGCATGTGATATATTTTATATTCATTAAGTAAATAATTATTTACTACTATTTATTGAATTTAATAAATGATTTTTTAAAATTGGATAACAATTAATTAATTTTCTTCAGTGAAATATTTGGTTTTTTTTAATAAAAATAAAAATTATTTGATACAATTTTATTTTATCGGTTCAACTTCTAATAAAGTAAATTATTCATTAATATACGAATAATTTATTATTTAATGCTAATACCCACATTTAATTTATAAAAATTTTTACGGCGTCGAATCTTAAATTATCGAATTTCTATTTAGCAAAATTGTATAAAGTGGATTTTATATTATGCAAAATTTTCAATTTACATTTAACTAAAATTCGATTTAAAAGAATTTCTATATTTAGCAGAACTCTTATAAAGCATTTTTTCTAATACTTTTTAAAAATTTTAAATTAATATAATTTCAATTTAACGAAATTCATGTCTATTAAAATTTGACAAAAAAAAAACTAAGTAGAATTTTTCTTAAAATGATAATTTTGTTAAATAAGAATTAGTTGGAATTAAAATTTTCTTTAATAAAAACTTTGTTAATTAAGAATTTTGTTAAATAGAAATTCTGTTAATTGTGGATTTATTTAATGACAATTTTGTTAAGTAAATATTTTGAATAAATCGAAATTTATTAAAATAACAATTATGTTAAAAAAAATTGTTCTTTATGCAATTTTTATTGACATAAATTCCGCTAAATTGAAATTGTATTAATTTGAAATTGAAACTAGAAAATCTGCTTTATATAATTTTACTAAATAAAAATTTGATAATTTAAAATTTGACGACGTAAAAATTCTTTCAAATTAAATGTTGAGAATATTTATACGTTCCCAATTAGTTTATTTATTTCACTTAAATATTTTATTTTTTACGAAACATTATTGATTTGGTTCAAATATATATATATGAAATTAGTGCTCTCTAAATCTGAATTAGTAAAAATGTTTACTAATTTAAATTAGTGACTCACTTTTTGCTTCTAAATAAGTAAAATTTTACTAATTATTAGTAACTTTAACTAACAATTAGTAAAATTTAACTAATTCTAAAGCAAAAAGTGAGTCACTATTTTAAATTAGTAAACATTTTTACTAATTCAGATTTAGAGAGTGGATAATAAACAGGTAAATGATTTAATTGAAATACTTTTGATCACATATTTTTTTCTATCCTTGAAGATTTTTTGCAAAATAATAAAGATCCTTGGGGGTAAATTCCACGAGTTTGAAATAAATAAATAAAAAGGGATAAAAAAAAATAAAAAATTTATATGTTAGTAATATGTGTAAAAAATTTTTTAGAAAATTTCTTTATTTACATTTACACGTTATTTTATATATGAATGAAGAAGAATATACCTATATATAATTATAAAGGAAAATTTATATATAAATGTGAAAGAAACGTGTATACAATTTAAAAAAAAAAAATTGACGATTCTTGAAATTGATATTTCCGTAAGATTCGTGTAAAATAAACTTGGAGGTTTCGTGTATGGATGATCTTGAATTAACAAAGAGGTCTCACGCGATTCTGATCTTATAACGATAATTAAGAGGATCTCATATATTTTTGCAGCAGCAACAGCTGTTTTATTATTATCGTCCCATATTATATACACTTCTCAAACCGCGCCGACAGTTTTCATTAAAATATAAATTTTTCAAAAAAAAATAAAATAAAAAAAAAATTTTTCTCGAGGACGAACAAAATTTCGAAAGATAAGTATAATAATCTCACTCTTCAAGGGTGATGAAAATTGTTATTCTCAAAACCGGCTTCAACGTACAAATTGCTCGTCTCACATATGGATTATTTACATATAAAGTAAAACAACTCAACTTTTGCAGTTTGTAATTGTTATCGACCACCCACAAGATTTTAAAAATAAATTAATTGATTATATATTACTTTATTATATAATGATTTTTTATTAATAATATCAAATGTAATGAATTAAATTTATTAAAAATAAATATTTATATTTATTTATTTATAAAAATTTCTAATTAGTGGCAAATTTTTGAAACTGGACTAAAATTTATTTATTTAGAAAAACTTACGAAGAATTTCATGTTGATCAGTGGATAAAGGTTTTTTACTGACTGTGCTATAATTTTGAGAATACTCATCATCTTATATACGAAAAATTTCTGGGGAGATAACCTTTGCCAATTTCGAGAATGTCATCCTTTTTGATACAATAATCCACAAACTTTGTGGAAAGGACTCGAGGACCAATCAAAAAAAAAAAAAAAAAAAAAAAAAAAAAAAGGATGAGTAAAGTGATGAAGGTCACAAAAACTGGAATCGATTAAAATAAATTTATTCATTCGGTCAGTTGCTTTATGTTCTTAATTAAGAATAAAATAAGAATAGATCTCGATTATATAAAAATGAAATATTATTACGTTACATACGATAAAGATTAGAATATCTATTATTATTATTATTATTATTATTATTATTATTATTATTGCTATACGTTATAACGCAGGTAAGAAAGGTTTGTATTAAAAAAATATATGTATATTGCAAAATTTCACCATTCCCAACATATTATGTATATTAGATTGATAAGTAAATCCTTTTTGCGAATTTCGTTTTTTGTCCACAATATTTCTAATTCTAATGAGATTGAAGAAATTTCCTATATATCAAATTGAATTCCTTTTCTGTTTCCCGCATTGATGACCTTTAAATTTTGCAAAAAAAAAAAAAAAAAAAAAAAAAAAAACTTTCGAATACTGACAATAGGTATATAGGTACTTTGAAGTATAATAATATTTTTATTTCTTTCTTATGGTTTCTTATTTCTTTATGATTTTTTTTTCTTACAGTGAAAAAAAAAATTTATTTGATTCAAATACTCGATTAATTGACTATATTATATCAAATAACTATTTATTTGAACCAAATAATTTTTATTTGAATTAAATAAATTGTATTTGAATCAATAATTTCTGTATTTGAAACAAATATCGCATTTAATTGACTCAAATAATAATTATTTGATTCAAATAAATATTTATTTGATAATAATCAAGTAATCGAGTATTTGAATTAAATAATCAAATTAACAGGTTAAATAAACTAAAAAAGTAGTAATTAACTTATATCCATCAACTTGTTGACTTAAAATAGTCAAATTAAATTTCACTTCAAATTAAATTTCATGTTTCATCTCATCCGGACAATTCCATTTCTCACGGAATTGACATTTATTTTAAAAACAAATTTTTTAAATATCAGGAATAATAAAAAGTTAAAACTGCTTCGCAGTAGGCTTCTATATAGAAACATTCAATCTAAATCATTATACACTTGAATTAGATTGCGATGTTAATTTTTTTTTTTTAATTACAAAGGTTTGAAAAAAACGTGTTTCATCTCTCCCGGATTTATCCTACTGAAAAATCATTTAACAGAAAATTTCTAATTGATAGAATTTTCATTTGTCCGAAATTGCAAATGGCCGAACAATCTATTTTGGCGCGATTTTTAAAATCAACCAATCAAAAATTATCCATAAAATATTGTGATTGGTTGATTTTAAAAATCGCGCCGAAAACTTTCTGTCGATTGTTTGTTCGGACATTTGCAATTTCGGACAAATGAAAATTCTATCAATTAGAAATTATGTTAAATGATTTCTTGGTTTAAAAAAAATTCTGTAGTATGAAAAATCATTTATATGGAAATTATATCAAATAATAATTCGAACAAATGAAAATTCATTTGAAAGAATAAAATGAAAATTCTATGCAATTAAATTCTACCAAATAAAAATTCTTTAAAATATGCCTATAATTATGTTAAATGAAAATTCGAGCAAATAAAAATTCTGTAAAGTGAATTTTCGGTTATATAAAAATTGTGTAATATAGAAAATCGATTTGATGAAAATTCTGCAAAATACTAATTCGAATAAATAAAAATTCGGCTCAAAAATAATTATGACAAATGAAATTCCATAAAATGAAAATTCTAACTATAATGATTTTTAGAACATATAATCATGCGTCTCCATATTTCATGCACCAAAGCCTGCGGTGACGCGCGAAAGTGCAGCCCGCGTTTCCTTAAAATTTTAAGGTCATGATGTGATTGTTGTGTTTGCCACATGTAATAATTTGTTCTCCGTAGATTTTCTCGGAAAATACTCGACAGATTAAGATAAAATTTTGTGGAGAACTTAAAAATAGTATTAGGAATCGCTATTTTCTGACAGATTATTAATATTTCATCAACAAATTTGGTTTTAAAAAAATTACATATTTAAGAAGAATCCCAATCAAAAATTTACTAATGGCGCAGTACTGGCACCCAGTATTGGCGCCAGAGTTGGCACCAGTACTGGTAACCACTACTGGTTCACTACTGGCTGAGTACTGGCAGTTTTGTAATTTATTGTATACGAAAAGAAAGCTTTAACTATAACAATGATAAGTTTAACTGCAATAGTGAAACTTATCTCTGCTCCAAGTAATACTTTTTTGGTATACTTAGGAAAAAGTGTCTGAAATTTTTAGTAACCCAAGACAAATTAAATATTAATTAAATTAGTCAACTAACTAATTAATATTTTATTATATAAAATCAAAAACACCAAGAATTTTTATTCTTTATTATAATATATATTGCAAATTATTATTTAAAAAAATCAAAAAATAAATATAAAAATATGTTTATTATAAAACCAAAGTTTTTATAATATATAAAAACAGTTCAGTAAAAATAATAATGTTTATAAAATAATTATAATGTATATACAATTATACAATTAGCAATTTAATTTTTTTATTATTCACTTTAATTATTTGCATCAAAATAAATTTTTGAAAAACTTTTTTAAGAAAATAAAAGTTGTTTTTTTAATATTTAACAAGTGTTGTCAAGAAAATTTTTTTGAATTTTTATTTTAAAAATTATTAATTTTTTTATAAAAAATTTTATTTATTTTTAGTTTGATTGTTTTAAATTTTTTTTTGGTTTATTGCATATCTGAAAACAATAAAAAAAAAACTTGCAAAATGTTTTGGAACTAGTCTCAGGAAACTTTTTGTTTAAATAATTTTACCCACAAAAAAGCAAAATAAAATACCTTTTAATTTTCAAAAATAAAATCAAAGTGAAAAAATTTTTATAAACAAAATATTTAAACAAAAAGATTTACCAGTTTCTCTCTAGAACTTTTTGTAAACTAGTATTAATCAAAAAGAAAATCTACTTGAGCCAGTACTGGCTCAATATCGGCTCAGTACTGGTTTGCCAGTACTGGAAGGGTGGTACTGCACCAGTACTGATACAATGAAAATACCAGTACTGGTTCAGTACAGACTGCCCAGCCTCGGCAGCCAATACTGAACCAGTACTGCGCCAGTAGTCAACTCTGGTATAATACTGAAATTTTTGATTGGGATTCAATATAATAGCGGCAATATGATTTTAACCATTTCCTCAAATATATGCAATTTTTCAAGAATACATTTTTTTACGAAATATTAATAAATATATACTGGTACATAACAGCGACTCTTTATACTATTTTTCTCCACAAAATTTTAGTTTAATTTATCAATTATTTTGCGAAAAATACACAGTTGTAAACAAATATCTCACTGAAATTTCAATTGTAAAATTTCCTGCTTTTCGCTGAATATAAGAAAACGTGATTTTTGACAAATTTCTATTTACATTAAAAAATTATTAAATAATTATTGAGTTTTTAATTTTTCATTATGTTGCCGCCTTCAGTAAACCGAAATGCATGTGCAAACTAAATTTTAATCAAATCCGTTATAATACATATATGGTATTTGAAATTAAAAAAAAAAATCAATACTTTAGATGTTATTAACTGTTAAAAATGTATGATAACTTTTTTTGCAATAATAAATAAATGATAAACATTTGCTAAATACTTTAAATATCATGCAGCTGTAATTTTTTTTCTTTTTTTTTAATAAGAAAATTATAAACTTATTAAATTGTTTATTTATTTGAAACATAACGGGATATACCCTTTCGTACAAAAGTACTCCTAAATCTAAATCTAAATTACTTGTTGATTCCTTGAGTTCATTAACCATAATATTATGGTAAAAATTTTATTCCCTTTAAAAATATTAAATATCAAAAGTAGGAGGTTCACAATGTGATTTTGTAACCTTAAATTTTTCAATTTTTTTAAAAACGCTATTATTAAAAAACTATTAAAAATTAGATGTTGGAACTCACCAAAAACATAAATCACTTTATCCTGCACAGAGGAACGAAAGAATTATTGCAAAAATTTATTATTTTTGGATGACATACGATTTTAAAAAAAATTTTATTTAAATATTCTCAAGATTTTTATTTACTTATAACTTTTTTGTCGGTGCTGCGAAAAAATTGAGGTTTTGCACAAAGATTTTTTATAATATTCTTTACCTTCTATTAAAATCTTACGAAGGTGTTTTGCTTCGTTTTGGAGATATTAATTTTCAAAATTTTTTATTTAAAAAGGTTAATTAAAACACTTGAAGTTAACTAACCAAATTCAAACTGCTCCATTTTTTATAAAAATATATTAAAATGTAGCGATTTGAAATTGGTCAGTTAACTTCAAGTCTTTTAATTAACCTTTTTAAATAAAAAATTTTGAAAATTAATATCTCCAAAACGAAGCAAAACACCTTCGTAAGATTTTAATAGAAGGTAAAGAATAGTATAAAAAATCTTTGTGCAAAACCTCAATTTTTTCGCAGCACCGACAAAAAAGTTATAAGTAAATAAAAATCTTGAGAATATTTAAATAAAATTTTTTTTAAAATCGTATGTCATCCAAAAATAATAAATTTTTGCAATAATTCTTTCGTTCCTCTGTGCAGAATAAAGTGATTTATGTTTTTGGGGAGTTCCAACATCTAATTTTTAATAGTTTTTTAATAATAGCGTTTTTCAAAAATTGAAAAATTTAAGGTTACAAAATCACATTGTGAACCTCCTACCTTTGATATTTAATATTTTTAAAGGGAATAAAATTTTTACCATAATATTATGGTTAATAAACTCAGGGAATCATCGAGCTTCACATATATTAAAACTAGATTTTTTTAAAATTTGGTCGCAACCACTATTAGACGAAAGTCACTGGACTAACCCAATTGTAAAGTTTTTTTTTCAAATTTCGAAAGTAGGTAGTTTGTATTTATTTTCAAATTAAAAAAAAAACTCATATTTAATTATACTTATTCATAGTTCAACAAAATGTAAATATTTTTTTTTATTTTCCTATAAACAGAAAATTGATTGACAATTTAAAATATTTATTTTATTTATTTATTTAATTTTGTATTTTTTTATTTGTACCAAAGAATACAGTCGCGTAGGAAAACCATTATTGGCACTATTTAGTTAAATTAAGTTAATATATATATTAAGTAAACATTTTACATCCAGAGAAAAGATTTTTTTGATTTAAAGAAACCAATTTTTTTGACTTGTTTTCTTTCGTTCAAAAATAAAATTTTCTTTGAAACAAAAAAAGCTTCTTAATATCAAAGAAATTTTCTTTGAATGAATGCAATTTGTGCATTAAATCAAAGAAATTCTAACATTAATATAGGGTCAAAGAAACATTTATCCGAATTAAATAAAAAATTTCTTTGAAACGAAGATAATTTTTTCTTTTTTTTTGAAACAAAAAAATTTTCTTTGTATCAAAGAAAATTTTGTCAAAGAAATTGATTTTTTTTTAATCAAAGAAATCTTTTTTTTATATTTTATTTTTATTTATAATTGACCGCATATTGATGTTATTTTTAGAAGAATGTATTTTTAAACCTATACATTTTTTTTCTCATCTTTCATAACAAAATTCACCTTAAAAAAAAATCATCTACTTCCTGAATGGGAATTTTACCAGTTTCTCTGGTTTTTGTTATTAAACAAACAAACAAAAAAAAAAAAAGTTGTTTACATTGCCATTTCTATTATAATATATTTGTATTTATGTTAAAAATATTTAGAAATTGGTTCGAAAAAACTTTTTTTTTCACTTTTTTTTTAAACCTTTTTTGATGAAGCAAGGGCAAAAGATTATCTTGAAAAAAAGTAAAAACGTTTCTGCCACGTGCTATTACGTGTTACCGATCCCACATATACTTAAGCAATCTTCAATATCTCTATATATCTTTTTTTTTCATCCCAATATTCCACTTCTCAGGTACAGAGAGATGATGTCCAAGGATTATACAACCGATCGATTTAGTCGTATCCACCAAAAGGTCAAGATGAGAAATATATTTTGGCAGATGTCTCTCTCTCTCTCTCTCTCCCTCTCTCTACCGAATAATGAATTCTGAGTAATTCATTCTTCTTCACTTTTCAATTTGGGAGAGGAACCATCAAGGGAAAGTGGGGTCTCCGGTCCATATATAAATTGGTCACCGAATCTGAGGAGACATCAAACACATCTCAAAACTTATCTTGAGTTCAAGAAATCTCCCAAAAAAAAAAACCACCAGCAACATGAAGTTCTTCGTGAGTTACTTTTTTCTCTTTTATAATTCATTTTTTTGTGTTTTTTTTATAAATGAAAGTTAAAAATTATTTTTTAAATTCTGTGAATCAATATAGTGATTTCTTTGTGACCAAAAAAATTTATAAAATCTGGATTTAAACAATTTTTGTTTTAGTGAAATACTAATTTTTTTTTAAATTTGTATTTTATTAACAAATTGAATTGTGAATTTTGAAAAAAAATCAAAAAAAATTAAATTAAATTAAAAAATCATTTTTACTATTAATTATTGTTATTAAAAAATAAAACGTTTTTTCGAGTTGAGCCATTTTCGAAATTCACCATTCAATTATTATTATTATTATTATTATTATTATTATTATTATTATTATTTTTAGTAAATAAAAAATTCTTTAAAATTTCTTTTAGTCTGGCTTTTTTGAACTTGATAACTTTCGTTAATACCTTTTTTAAATATATTTTTATTTTATTTTTAATAAATATTTTTGAATTATATAAAAATTTACCAATAAATAATAATAATAAATAATAATAAATATTCTATAATAATAGACAGTATTGATATAAAAAAAAAGTCAAGAGTAAATTTTAAAATGTTTCAAAAAAGAAATTTGTTTGAATTCTTTTTTTTTTATTTCCTTTTTGCTTTCTCAAAGATGAAAATATATTATCCAATTTTTTTTTAATAGTTAAACCATTTTTCTAACATTTGATCAGTCATTGGATGAAAAATAGAAAAATACTTTTGAGAATTGAAAACTTCTATATATACTATTGTGCACTAAAGAAAGAAAGCTAAGAAGCCAAAAATTCTAGGTTATGTTTATGATAGTTTGAAGAAAAAAATTTAAACATAAACTATAATATAATTTTTTTCTTTTTAGATCTCGAGTTTCTTCAAATCGTTACACATGATTAGAAAAAGAAACTTAAAAAATTATAGGTTATGTTTATGATAGAATTGGAGTAAAAATTGAATCACAAACATAACCTATATAATAAATAAAAAAAAATAAATAAATAACAAAAAATTTTAATAAAAAATTTTTAATAATTTTTGCAGATCGCAGCTTTGGCTCTCGTTGCCGCCGCCAGTGCATTGCCACAGGAACGTGATGCAGCAATTCTTCGTCAGGCACAGGACATCTCGCCTGAAGGAGCCTACAATTACAATTACGAAACCGAAAATGGAATTCGAGCTTCTGAAGATGGAACTCTCCAGAATGTTGGACCCAATGGTGAAGCTGCAATTGTTGCTCAGGGAAGTTTCCAATATACCGCTCCCGATGGCACTCCAGTTGCCGTTTCATATGTTGCCGATCATAATGGATATCAACCATCGGGAGATATTCTTCCAGTTGGCCCCGCCATCCCAGCACAAATCCAGAGAGCACTTGACTACATTGCCGCCCACCCACCACAACCCGAAAACAGAAAATAGACAATTCATATAAATATCATTAATAGTTATAATAAGATGTAATTAGATTAAAGAAAAAAAAAGAAAAAATATATTTTGTTTCCAAAGATAATTTTTCGACTCTTATCATTATACCAAAAAAAAACAAAACAAAAAAAAAACAATATACCCCTATAACACGGAATATTCCATTCACATTCCGGGAATATTCCATTGGAATATTCAGAATATTCCTTGGAATATTCCATCCATATTAAAAAATGTCCGACCTTCGGAATATTCCACTGGAATATTGAGGGAATATTCCATTAGAATATTGAGAGAATATTCCATTGGAATATTGAGAGAATATTCCATTGGAATATTGAGAGAATATTCCATTGGAATATTGATGGAATATTCCATCCCTAATAACACAAGATATCTTGGAATATATTGATAATATCCCGCAGATATCCTAGGGATGTCCTATGGATATCAAAAGGATCTCTTAAGGATATCCAAAAAATCGGCGGTTTGGATATCCCATGGATATCTGAGGATATCCACATATCTTCTGGATATCTCTATAGACTTTCATAAATGTCCTCCAGATATCCCATAGATATCGTCAGGATATCCCACAGATACCATCAGGATATCCCATAGATATCGTCAGGATATCCCACAGATATTTTCAGGATATTCTCAGTATATCTTCTGGATGTTAAGAAGATATTCTCAGGATACTGTTTTTAAAGTCATTATGAGACTACGAGTGAGAATATTCTGTGAATTAAATTTTATATAAATAAAATAAAATGCAACTTGTTTTTCGAGAAAGTTGTTTAATTTGAAAAATTATTAACTAATTTTTTTCTCATTCGTGATTCATTCCTTTATTCATATGCTTAATATTGTCAGAAAATAAATTGGCTTTAAACAATATAAATTCTTCCCCGCAAATAACGAATAACTATTAATATTAATTATACATTAAGTGCATGAGTTTATTTAAAAACTTTGAAAAATGCGTTTCAAATCTTCATTTAAAATAAATTAGAAGCTCATAAGATTTTTGTTTTTATTATATTATTATTCATTATATTAGCTTAACAATTTTAACCTTTAAAAAAATATATGTTGAGATAGTAAATATCCCGTGAATATCCTAAGAATATCCCACGGACATCCTGAAGATATCCCATGGATATCCTGCGATATAATATCCAATAGATATTTTGTGGATGTCTTAGGGATATCCTATGGATGTTCTGTTGATGTCCCACAGACCGGCGGTTTGGATATCCCAAGATATCCTGGGGACCATTCTAGGATATCGACCATTGATATGGATATCCTATGGATATCCTAGGGATATCCTTTTGTTATGAGGGATCAGAATATTGAGGGAATATTTAATTGAAACATTGTACGAATATTTTTTTGGGAATATACGCATTTAAAATTTATGAAAAGTTAATCAATTATTTTGTAAATTTTAATTTAAAAACCATTTTTGTATTGTTTCAAAATTTATTTTTCAGAATTAATTTATATAAATACATAACCGAACGTATTTTATTTCAATGAAGACAAAATTAAAAAATTTGGTAAGTAGAAGGTAGAAACATTACAAAATCAGCAATAATAGTTTGATTTTTCATTGTTAAAAAATATTTATACAATGTTACTATATTAAATATTCCTCAAAAATTCCAACGGAATATTCTCTAAATAATCCAATGGAACATTCCATCAATATTTCGATGGAATATTCTCTATATTCGAGTGGAATATTCCGAAGATCGGACATTTTAATATTCCTGGAATACAGATGAAATATTCCAATGGAATATTCCCGGAATGTGAATGGAATATTCCGTGTTATTGAGGTAATAATATATAGTGCATTCCATGTGAAATTTTCACTAAAACTATTTTTTTTACCATTTATATGTAAAGGAAATTGAAAATTAGGACTTACCGACTGCTGATAATATAGAAATCTACCTTACCAATATTAGGCAAGAAAGAAATTTAAAAACTTTCCCTCTCGCTACACAGGTAAATAATGATGTACTTTTGGTTCGTGTGTTAAAAAAAAAAATTCTCTCTAAAATGACCAGTTTTTGGAAAATCATCATCATCATATTTATTTAAAAATAAAAGTGGCATAAATTCAGAACGATTGAAAGAAAAACAAAATTTACCAAAATAGAATTGTTTGTAAAAATGTTTGCTCTACTTTTTATAACAATTAATTTTTTTAAAATTATTTTTGACATATATAAAGAAAATCGTTTTATTTCCTATGCAACATTTATATTAAACAAAAAAAAAGTTAATTTTGTCTGACTTTTATACTCTTAACGTATCATGAACATGTGAACATAAGGATCGTGTAAAGCTTATATTCAACAAGAGTCAGTTAATAAATCTTCTCAAAGAGCAGAGCCATCATTATTCTTCGAGTAATATAGTGTATTACATTATAAATTTTAGTATGCAAAGAAAAACAACATTAATGTACATAATAAACATGATATTTGACCAATATTGAACTAATTTCGAATTTATATAACAGAGCAAATTTTTTTTGTATTTTTTTATTCAAACATTTTTTTTCTATTACACAATGAAAAAAAATTTATTTATGATTTGAAATTAAAATTAATAAAATTTCATGTTTCACTTGATTATGTGTGCACTATTAATAAATATATTAATAATAATTATAGAATTATATAATTTTGTAATACAAGATTTTAAATAGATTTAATAAAAGAACAAGAATCATGCATTTTTAAATTCATGAACATTTCGCATCAAATCCGTAGGTGTTTATAATTGCACCATTAATCACACGTATTAAAGAGATGTTTGTTTTTCTAATAATAAAAAAAAAAAAAATGTTAATTTATTCGTCAGTGTTCCTTTGTCTTCCAGAATAGATTTATTATATTTTCCTTTTAAAAAAATTTTATAATTTTTTATTTTTATTATTTGGGGCACATAAATTTCCCATAAAAAAAACATTAATTACAATTTTTATTTCAAAGTATTTTATTAGAAATAATTATTTTTAAGACGAATTTTCAATTTTCAAATTCAAAAATTTGAAAAGATTTTCTTTTTATACCAATTTTTACTTAACAAAATTTTTAGCTTCCGAATTTTTGTTTGGCAGAATTTTTATTTTACTGTCATTTTCTTTACACTTTACTTTATATAAAAAAAATTTAATTTAACAGAATTCTCATTTAATCGAATTTTTAAATGATCAGAAATTCCTATTTACTGAATTTTAATTTATCCGAATTTTTATTTGTATCAATTTTTAATTGATCGAATTTTTAAGACGCCGAATTTTCATTTGTTCGAAATTACAAATGCCCGAACAAATAATCGACAGAAAGATTTCGGCGCAATTTTTAAAAATGACCAATCACAATTTTCTTGATATAATTTCTAATTGGTCAGTTTTAGAAATTGCGACAAAATCTTTTTTGTCGGATTATTTGTTCGGCCATTTGCTTCTAAGGTCCTTTTCTTCAGATCGCGTCACATATTCAAAAAAAATATATTTTTAAAAATATATTTAAACTCAACATGGCTTGCAATATATGAAAAAATAAAAAGATGGAAAAATTCAAGTTCGTAAGAAATATTGCATGCAGTTTAAAGTGAGAGAATAAGAGAGTTATGACTTTTTAAAGTGATAATCGAGTCAGATAACAGCACGAACCTTTCATTGCAGTCTATACCTATAATACAAACATATTTCTCAGCTGTTTATAATCGAATCATAAAGGGGCAATCAATGGAAGCATCCACATTATTAGACAATGCTTACCGTTGAGTAATCATCACAGAGGTGCAATTCAACACCCAACACTTAGCTCTGAACTTCGACCGAGATATTATGAAACGGTGCAATTAACTCGAGTATATTCTTGTTCTTATAAGGAGTTTTAAATTCCAGAATTTAATAAAAGTATTTTATTTTCTTTATAACTATATAATTTAAAATACCATAAGAATCATTTAAAAAAAAATATAGTAAATTTAATACAAACATAATAAACTTTAACTTAAAATGCGATATCTGAATTTTATACGAAAAATAATTTTTTAGATTAAAAATCATGTCAAAAGCTTATTCACAATACAGTCGAATCTCCCATAAGTTAATTTTCCCCTATCACGTACCCCCTCTACCTAAAAAACTTTAGTCATTACACATGCGCATAGTGGTGCCAAGATGGCTGATACATAAATAAACATAACCTCGTCTACAAACGTGTTCTATGATCATCTGTGACTTAGTTTAATTCAGTTGAATGTGTTGAAATGTGTTGTATAAAATTAAAAACAATAAGATAACTTGTTAAAAATTAAAGTTTTATGTACTTTTAAGACTCCACGAGACTGACTACTTTTAATGTACACAAATATGTTGAATTTGACAAACTGTCAAAAAAGATTTTTAATTTTAAAAAAATACTAATTCAAAAAATCTCAATATTCTATTTTATTTTTAAATAGAAATGTTAAAATATATATTTTCGTTATTTGAATTTAAAAATACAGTTTATTTGAATTATAATTATAATAAAAATTGATTTCAATTTATGTTATTTTTAGTTCTCAAGTTAACATCTATGTCTACGATGTTTAACAATGTTCTTCTAAAACGTGTAATTAACATCTTGTACCACTACCTAGAATAAAAACATTCGATTCATGTTTAAAAGAATTTTCTTTTAATTTAATTGAATTTTGTTTTTTTTAAATTAAATTTAATTATTAAATAATTGTTTCACTGATGTAGCTGCATCATTTACGAATATTAATTCCTTAATAATATTTCCAATTAACTCAAATAATATTTTATCATGAATAAAATTCCGTCCATGATTTATAAAATTAATAAAAGTAGTTAAAAGAATAATACAAGTATGTACCGACAATGTTTTTCACAGTCAACTAAACTTATATTAAATTAAATATTCAAACATTTCTAATAACTCATTTACTTCACAAGACTTCAAACATATATTTTGAAATTGACCGCCATGCGCAATAGGTCACTGCGCAACTATTTCTCCTTACACGACAATTCTCTCATAAGTTAACCCCCCACCAGAATTAACTTATGGGAGATTCGACTGTAAATACAAAATAATAAGTGGAACATTCGAATTGTGACACTTTGCAGGGAATGGTAGCATTTTCGATACATTGCAGGGAACCAGGATAGAGAAATGCAGGGTGAGACAGATGTAAAAAATATAAAGATATGTTATATTTTTGACGTTCTACTGGAATTTCAGTGGAAATTTACATGCGGCTATTCTAAACATAACCTTTAAGTTAAAATCAAATATTTTATAATTTTCACGAAGTATTATAAGGAGCACTCACTCCATTTTAGCAGATATAGCCACGGTTTCGCCAAATCAATTAGAGAAATGTCCCATAACGATTAGAACGCCTCTACAGGAAAAGCTATGTACTTTATAGTTTTTCACAATATGTCTGCGCCTAATATCGTCTGCTACTGCTCGTAAATAAAGACTGCTTTGACTTTGTGAAGTGATGATTTTTATTGCGTTTAATATGATAAATAAATGAAATAAATAAATAAATAAAAAAGTACACATATAAAAAAATAACAATTTGTGGAAAGAATTTTGTGAGATAACATAAACGTGGTAAGTTGGAATTGATTTGTGTCTTATTTTTATGTGTTTTCCATTACTTGTCAAGATTAAATAAAAGTGTATATTCTGCAATTTATGAATTTTGTTTAAATTTATAGATTTCCATGTGTATAAAAAAATTATATTTATATAATTTACATTTTTACATCTCATGTATATTTATAAAAATTCTATTACAATTTTTAGGTTATATCATCATCTGACACCCATCTGTACAGAGAAAATAATGGAAAATTCGATGAATATAGTTTGTCCATTCAAATATTTACAAAACAACTTGTACCAAGTAAAATTACCTTCCAAAAGTTGGTCTTTTGCAGAAGGAAACAGTTCTTATTTTGGATTCATAAGAATGGAAAAAAATGGTGATATCAAGAAAAAAGTAGGAGTGTTTTTGGAGTCTGGTGTACACATTTATATAGAAGACAGAATGCTTCCGTTTGGAAAATACATAAAATTTACCAAAATTGAGGAACTAGAAAACCTTTTGCAAGATGTTGAAGAATATAAGTAATATTATAGATATATTATTATGAAATTGAGAATTTTTTTTTTATTTCATTTTGATTCAATTGTATTTATTAAGTTTCGAAAAAAAGTTATTTAAATTGAAACATCAAATTGTACATAAAATAATGGAGTTATATTTTTTAATCAATTTTTTTAGATATAAAATTTTCATGACATGATAATGAATTATAATATTTTTTATCAATGTTTAATCAAAAGTTTATTTCTACTCTTTTGAGAGTAGAAATTAATTTTAATTTAAATAAATAAATCAACACAATCTTTTTATATTGCTTTTAATATAAAATAATAATTACTATTGTATTATTAAACATTTTATAATACTTAAATCGGAAAAAATTGTAGGAATCGCTCCTCTCCTCAACAATGCTCTCTCTCGTTTTAAACGATGTTCACTTTCATCAGGAATTTTTGTAACAAACTCTGGTTTGATGTCATCTTTTTCAAAATGAAATTCACAGATTCTGTGTTGCTTCATTAATTTCTCTCCTCCAGGAACTGCTTTTTGCCAATCGCGTAATATTTCCTCCTATAATAAATAAATTTAATTGAAACATTTACAATGTAAGCAGATTATTTATATAATACTTCGTGCGACAACGTAACTATTATTTTCATATTTTGAGGTTATATTTTGACAAATATGTACTTATACGGTAGCAGGTGAAAATAAATGCCTTTTTTCAACATTTTCTTTACAGCTTTTCTTTTCGTAGCCTGGTGAGGTACACCCTTTCACAAAACACCTCATTATTACTTTTAAATTAAATTTTTTTTACATATTGCACTCACGATTGTTCAAGATTCCCTGGCGGATCTCGAAATCGGAATGTACGCTGAATTCGTTGTACATTCGTCACACATTGGTTAAACATTTAGTTGGAGTGAAAATTGTGTAGAAACTGAGTGGAAACTGTGGAAAAGTGTAATTGAATTGAATAATAAAAGTATTTAGTGATAGATTTGTGCTGTATTTGTGACAAATTAACGTGTTATTATTAAATAAATAAAGTTTAAAGTGTAAAATGTTCGCGTAAGTGAGTTTGACAGGCTAGGGAATTTTCTAGTGACATCCAACTTGATAGTCGATAAAGAAGTTAAGCCGCCGACTTTGCACGGTAGGTGGCAGCATTCATACTTTCGCCTTTTTAAAAATTCTCTTTTTCAATTGTAAATAGAAAAATTAATTAATTAATAAGTTATATAGTTTCTATGTTGTCATTTTTTTAAACAATTGAATTTTTGAAGATTGTTTAATGAGATAAATTAAACTTGTATAATTGATGCAAATTGTTGTTTTTAAAATACTTTTAAATAAATCTTTTCTTTTAATTACATTTATATTGAAAATAAATAAAATAATAAGAAAGATAAAAAAAGTTTTCTTTATTAAAATTATGATTAAATTAATTTAATTGAATTTAATTAAAAAACAACAATTTGCATCGATTATACAAGTTTAATTTATCTCATTAAACAAAGTTCAAAAATTCAATTGTTAAAAAAAATGACAACATAGAAACTATATAACTTATTAATTAATTTTTCCATTTACAATTGAAAAAGAGAATTTTTAAAAAGGCGAAAGTATGAATGCTGCCACCTACCGTGCAAAGTCGGCGGCTCAACTTCTTTATCGACTATTAAGTTGGATGTCACTAGAAAATTCCCTAGCCTGTCAAACTAACTTACGCGAACATTTTACACTTTAAACTTTATTTATTTAATAATAACATGTTAATTTATCACCAATACAGCACAAATCTATCACTAAATACTTTTATTATTCAATTCAATTACACTTTTCCACAGTTCCCACTCAGTTTCTACACAATTTTTACTCCAACTAAATGTTTAACCAATGTGTAACGAATGTACAACGAATTCAGCGTACATTCCGATTTCGAGATCCGCCAGGGTCACCGAGTCCACGATTAACAGAAGTATAAAAACGTGTGAAATAGCCGTTTCCGGCATTCACCCACAGTTAATTTGGGGTAAATTTTAATTGATTTTTATTAACGAAGTTACAATTTCTGATGATTATTTAAACTAATCAAAATTAAATTTCAAAAACGGCCTGTACTAAATACTGCTGCTGAATACAGTGTAAACAAACAACAAACATTCAAGCATAGCAGACGATAAAATCACGTGACCTGTAGTAATTAATTTTCTCGCTAGGGTTATTAGTATCGTTATGGGACACTTCATTAATTGAATCGGAAAAACATATGAGCAGAATTTTCCGAAACGGCCAATACAGTATGAGTGCTCCTTATAATACATCGTGATAATTTTCATTGAAAATAATAATATTTTTAAATGAAAGTGATAGTTATTTTCCATATATTAAAATAAAACTTACAAACTGCATTAAACAATCTCATTCAAACAGATTTCTATATTTTTTCTTGCAGTAACTAAAAATGCATTATAATTTTTAAGATATAAGATAGCAAAAATGTTTTAAACGTTTTAAAATTGACTACAATGTATTTTAAGATTCTTTTTTTTGCAGTATTATCGTGCTTAATAAAGTTGTTTAACATTTAAACGTGTAAAGTGTTATATAATTAAAAAAGAACATCTTAATCCTTCATATAATCGCCGCGAAACGATTAACAAATTGTTCATTGCCTGAATCACTGAAAAATCCTCAATGTCACAATTGTTCTTCAATAAAGAACAAAATAAAAAAAAAATTAAATTAAATGATGTAAAGAAGATTATTCAACCTACAGAAGAAATAACTTTTGAAATATTTATGATGCAAGTTGTATTATATATATATATATATATATATATATATATATATATATGTATATCTGCGTATTCGAATTCCTTGACGCCCCCTGATGGTTTTCAATTCACGCGTTATATTCTGAATTATGTGCAAACGAAGAATATTTCGCACCAACAATAATATGCGTATGCCATTGTTTTATATCCGAGGAATCTTAACATTATCTTTTTTGAGCCATAAATCCATCAACTTTGGATCTCAACGCGTATCATATTGTATATGTCTTCAAACGTTTATATATATACAAATTAAATAATGTAATTTATGATCAAAAAATAAAAAAACCGATTAGGGTTCAACTTCAGTCTATATTTTACTGAAAACTTGATGATTTGTCTTAAGGATGGTTTTCGAAGAAATATATAATTATCCCAGTAAAAAAAAAGTATAGACAGTAAGGAAAAAGTATAGACTCATAGCTTAGTGGCTATACCGTTCGGCATGTAATGACGGTATAGAGACGTTACGGTGTATACTTTTTTCTTACCGTGAATACGGTTCACCTGGATTGTTTGAATTGATGGGTATTAACGCGATTTGACATTGTCAATGAAAAAGCCGATTGTTTTGAAGTGTAATAATGCCGATTACGAGGAGGAGCGACGAAATTTTATCTAAAAGTTAAAAAGGTAAATATGACAGGCACGAGACCTGCGAGAGTTGTTACCACTGGATTGAGGAAATGCATCATTACTGACAAAAAGTATTCGACAGAAACTTACCGACAGAAAGTTACTAGGAAGAGCGGCAAATTCAAATGGTCAAATTAAATTCGAATGAATATATACATAATTTAATGTAGTTTTTTTATTTTAAATCAAGTATAGTATTTTAAATAATTAAATACCGATATTAAATAATTAATGTTTATTATAAAAATTGACATATAGACATGAAAATTTTTTCATTTTTAGCATTTAAATCTGTGAAATAATGAAATATTGTAATTTTATTTTTTAATTACAAAAAATTTTTATTTTTTATTAATTATTAATAATTAAATTTTTTTCATAAAAATAAAAATGTACTGCAAAGAATATGTTTTATGCATTGAAAAATAAAAATTTGTTAAAATATATTATTTCTATATTTTGTAAATAAAGTTATTTATTAAAATAATTTTTTTATTTATAAAATTGAAATAGATTAAAAAATTAATGTTTTAAATTAAAAATTTTTTATTTGAATTAATATATGTAATTAACTATTATGAAAATTAATTAGTCGTTAAATTTTTTTTTTTTTTTAATAATAACTAATCTTTTTTTACCTATAAACAAATTTAATTTTATTTTGAACAAAATTATATTTTTAATGATAAAAACTTTGTTATTTTACATAGAGACGAATAATATTATACTTTTTTTATTTGTGAGTGAGAAGTGACCAAAACCAAATAATTGTAAATCATCGTAAAAATATTTTAAAAGGGATAGAAACAAATAATACATTTTAAAATTATACAACACAAGAATACTCGCAAATCGCATATACGCGTATGAAACAAATTATAAGCATTAAAAATTATTGTAGGATAAAAGAATGCGTTTAAATATAAAAGAAATTCACAAATAAAAAAATATCGTTTAAGAGTGTCGAACGGTCTCTGAAATTCTTTGGCATTCAATAATCGCCCTATAAAAACGGCACTGAACGTGAAAATGATAAACATTGAGTTTAAAATACTTTTTTCTCAAAACGCGGACACTTTTTTCAAAATCGGAAAAAATACCAAGGATCCTTATCTTATAAATTTCTTAAATCCGAAAGATTGTGCAAATCTATACAAAAATGCGATTGTAAAACGAAAAGTACGAAAGTAATATAATGACAGCTGCGACATTGTGCTCCCTGCATGCTTCTGCCACCTAACGGCTGCAGGACGTAATAAACCTAAAATTATATTACTTTCGTACTTTTCGTTTTACAATCGCATTTGCGAGTATTCTTGTGTTGTATAATTTTAAAATGTATTGTTTTGTTTCTATCCCTTTTAAAATATTTTTACGATGATTTACAATTATTTGGTTTTGGTCACTTCTCACTCACAAATAAAAAAAGTATAATATTATTCGTCTCTATGTAAAATAACAAAGTTTTTATCATTAAAAATATAATTTTGTTCAAAATAAAATTAAATTTGTTTATAGGTAAAAAAAGATTAGTTATTATTAAAAAAAAAAAAAAATTTAACGACTAATTAATTTTCATAATAGTTAATTACATATATTAATTCAAATAAAAAATTTTTAATTTAAAACATTAATTTTTTAATCTATTTCAATTTTATAAATAAAAAAATTATTTTAATAAATAACTTTATTTACAAAATATAGAAATAATATATTTTAACAAATTTTTATTTTTCAATGCATAAAACATATTCTTTGCAGTACATTTTTATTTTTATGAAAAAAATTTAATTATTAATAATTAATAAAAAATAAAAATTT